TGACATACAATGCCACCGAGTGATCATACAAGACACACTCCATTCTTAGAAAATTGCGCCGTCTTTTATACGCATCCTCTTGAACTTTATGTGTAAAGTACACAAAGCTTTGAGTTGATCTTAGTTAAACTTAATGCACTTTAACACTTTTGCACAAAAGCTTCCTTGTGCATCTTTTTGCAGCGAATTGCATTCTAACGTTTTTGACGTTTGCAAATGTTTGTTTATATTTTTACTTTTTACATGTGCGCGTTTTTTTTAAATTAAATTGAATATAATTTATTAAAATAAGTAAAATTAATTAATAAGTAATATCGGAGTTTTAATAATTAATTTAATAAAATTATTTATATAAACTACGTTTCCTTTTTGTTTAAATTACTCAAAGTGACGTGTGTAAAGTGGTAGTGCAAAGGTATTTATAATTGTTTTCCAATTTTCTAAATAATAATTATATTTAATAAATTCATTTATAGAAACATCCAACATTCAAGTCATAGTATGTAGGTTGGAAATTTGTACAAAATTTCCCGCCAGAGGATCTGTTACCACTGCCTGTTCCTCTCGTCAACCTTGACTTGCCTGAACATTTTCTCGACATCAGCTGTGAATGCTATTCGATGCTGCCTGAAGCGAAGCAAAAGGTTAAGTAATAAATCCTGTATTGGGGGGCCATCGAGTTGTGTATCATTTAATGATATGCCATTCGACGTTTTTGCGGAAGCATTGAATACGACTCGGAATTTTGCCATGACTGCATGATGTGGAATGTAGTATGCCTGAGATGGGTCGCTTGAATGATGCTGAATAGGGTGCATGTGACCAAGTTGTTCGTATTCGCGCATAAAAGCCACATATCTTTGCGTCAGCTCTGGGTTGGATGCCAATTTTCGTTCCAACTGGTGAAATTGCCTGAGTGCCATCTGATGTGAATTCCCAAGTGGTGGAGCATCTGGTGTAAATGGTATTTGTACACAATAACTGCCATCATCAAAACGCTTATGTGTGCTCATGAAAATGCATTCGCAAAGATCAACTGCTCCTAGTTTATCGCCTTTAGCCATGTCAGTTTCTTTGGATTCAAATAGCCTGTGTAGAAGGTCATCAACTCGCTCATCAGGCGCCTCCACACGCAATGCCATAGATTGTTCCGCCTTGTAGTTATGCACGGTTGCTTCGGCTGGTCCGAATACAACCCAGCCTAATTACGTATTTTGTGCCACAGGATCATCAAGTTCGCCACGAACTATGCCATCTGCCAACAATTGGCCCCATACGTCTGGGGGTTACAGCCAAGCAATGCATCTATAACATCAGTTTCGCCAAATTTCGGGTCTACCAAAGGCAAATTGCGTAAATGCTGCCAATAGTTTTCCATGATTGGAGCCACAGGGACTGCTGATGTAATTTTGTTGATGATGTAGAATTCAACATCCAAGTCAAATGAAGCATTGAAAGTCGAAAATATGCGCAAGACTGCCCGGCCATTAATATATGAGCGATTGCCACTGCCAACGCCTTGTATTTGCAATGCACTTTCCTGCTTCCGCAGAGCCAGTTGATTAAAATATCGCGTACTCATTAGACTTACCTGAGAGCCTGGATCGCATAGAGCTCGACACGAGTCGATATCGCCAAAGCCATTTAAGATGCGTATTTGTGCTGTTGCCTATAGTAACGAATGTCTGCATTGGATGGTGTAGTCACTGATGCACACGTGGTGGGATGCCAACCTGGTTCGTTTTCGCTGGTGCCTGAGGTGTAGTTTGTGCCTGCTGTTTGGACTCCTGCAAAGGAGGAGTTTGCGCTGGTGAACTTCGGCATAGTAGAGTGTGATGCCTGCCATTGCATATGCGACAATTAGTTGAGCCACATGCCTTAGTGGAATGTCCAGGTTTCAAGCAATTGAAGCAAAGATTCGAGCCTTTTAGCAATGTGAAGCGCTCCGCTGGGGAGCAAGCCAATAGCCTGATGCAGTTGCCTATTTGGTGCGCTGCGTCATTGCAAAACTGGCAGTGGCCTGGAGTAGTTGCTATTAGGTTTGTCCTCATTAGACGTGAGCCTGGCCTTTTATGATCAGCCTGAGATGTACCACGATATTGTTGCATGCCAAAGCCATCCTCAACGTAGTCATCCGCCAATATTTTTGCAGCTACCTGCTTTAATGATGATCACGCAGCCGTACGCCTATTTAAGGCAGCCATATTTTCTTCGTATAAAGTCAAAAACGCAATTTAATTTTTAATTAAAAACCGAAACTCCCGGGTTTCGGCACCAACAAATGTATGAAAAAAGTGAAAGACAATAATTTCATACGCGCAAATATAACTTCAAACTGCAGCTGTCAAAAACTACTAAATGGGTGATGCCATATCGCCTGGTTGCTGTGCCAAATCTCAAACACATACATATCATTAGACGAAAAGCTTTCGGAAATTCTCATTTAAAATTCGCGCGCTGTATATTTTCCGATATTTTAAGTTTATGTAGTTTGGCAGCACTGTCCTTAATTACTATGCCAAAAATGAGCGCGATCTGTCAGACAGTTCGTTTACGGCAGCTGTTGAAACCAGTTCACCTCAGTAGGGCGTTGCGAAAAAAACAATGGAAAAAAATATTGAACAAAGAGTTTGCATCAAATTTTGTGTTTCGAACGAAATTTCGTGTGCAGAATCGTTGCGAATGCTACAAAAGGCTTATGGGGAATCAGTTTTATCGAAAACTCAAGTTTATGAGTGGTACAAAGCCTTCCAGGACGGTCGTACGACCGTCGAAGACATTTCGCAACGCACTACTGAGGTGAACTGGTTTCAACAGCTGCCGTAAACGAACTGTCTGACAGATCGAGCTCATTTTTGGCATAGTAATTAAGGACAGTGCTGCCAAACTACATAAACTTAAAATATCGAAAAATATACAGCGCGCGAATTTTAAATGAGAATTTCCGAAAACTTTTCAGTCTTAATGTATCATCTCATCCACACTTTTATTTACAACAATCTATAAGTTTTCCATCATAGCTTATGTAATTTTAATTAATTTTAATTTTATGAATTTAATTTAAAATTTAGTTGTAATTTTAGTTAATTTTTAAAATAATTTTAATAATTTATTTTCTATATTCAAATAATTATTTCATTTCAAAAACTTCTTTTCTATATTAAATAATTAAATTCAAATTCTGAACTATTAATTAATTAATTTCTAAACTATTAATTAAACTTCTTTTCTATATTCAAATAATTAAATTCAAATTCTAAACTATTAATTAATTAATTTCCTTCAGTTGTAGTTTGCTCGTCTTTATTAGGTCGTTCAGAACGTCTCAACCTCAGTGGTTCATTCTCAGTATCCACACCTTGCTCTGTGTCACAGTCGTTAGCGAACGGTTTTGCTGTATCAACAACCTCAGTTACATACGTATGGACCCTAGGATTAAAAGTTACAGTTTTTCCTTTATATTTTTTCATTTGGTTGATATGCGCAACCCTGAATATACCATTTATGGATATTAAATATCTAATTCGACTTAGTTTTTTAACCACTTTTGCATGAACGCATTTAATATAATTATTTGCAATATTTTTGTAAAATACCCTTTCATTGGATTTAAAGTTTATGAGTTTACTATAATTCAGCTTTCCATTTTCAAACTTACTCAATGCTTTATCATCTCCTCCATTTTGAAAATTACTGATTTCCAATTTATTTGTATTTTCCTTTTCCCTAAAATTTTTCTTAATTTTTGGATTTATATTATCTAACAGAGTTTTTGGTTTAAATTTAAAAATTATATCTGCTGGTGACATCCTTGTTGTCGTTGTTGGAGTAGTACGATAGCTCAAAAGAAAATTATTTATTTTAAAATCCCAAGATTTACATTTAATTTTAGGATCCAACAAATACTTTCTTAATGCGCTTTTTACAGTTTGTACTCAACTTTCCACAGTGCCATTCGATTGCGGATGATATGGTGGCGATTTTAAACATTCGATATTATTATTAATGAAAAATTCTATAAACGCCTTTGAACTAAATGGTGGACCATTGTCCGTCACAATTTTCTTCGGAAGCCCGAAAATTGCAAAAGTAGATCTTAACGCTTCTATGACTGTAATAGCGTCAGTTTTGCGCAAAATTTTAGCTTCAACCCATTTCGAATAAGTGTCAACAATTACTAAGATATTCAAATTTTGAAATTTACAAAAATCAGCGTGAATACGCTCAAACGGAGCACTTGTTACTTCCCAGTTGGTAAAAATTTGTTTTGACGGTTTTTGATTCATACAACATGCTTCACATGACCCGACGAACTCCTCAACTGCAGCATCTATACCCTGCCACCAAACATATGTCCTAGCAACAGCTTTCATGCGGACGATTCCGATATGACCACTATGTAACAGTTCTAATGTTTTCGGTCTCAATGACTCTGGAATTACAATCCTTTCACCATAAAAAACACACTTATCTTCAGTTGCTAACGATATTCGAATTTTAAAGTATTTTTTTAAGTTATTATCAATTTTTTCTGGCCACCCATTCTTAACATATTTGTACGTTTTTAATAGTGCCACATCTTTCGACATTTCATTTTTGATGTCGTCAATCTTAATTGGAAGGTCGCCTATAAGGTTAAAAATATTAATACTATCGTCATCTTCATTTGTATCTTCTTGCAGAGGTAAACGAGACAGCGCGTCCTCATATCCCATTTGCGATCCCTTCTTGTACTTAATTGAGTAATCATACATTGATAAAAAAAACTGCATATCGCTGTAACTGGTTCGCTGCTACCGATGGTAGATCTTTTTTAATTGAAAAAATTTCCCGCAATGGCTGATGGTCACTTTCAATGGTAAAGGGTAACCCAAAAATATAATTATAAAATTTCTTCACTGCAAAAACTATCGTTAAAGCCTCGCGATGAAGTTGAGAGTAATTCTTTTCAGCCGGAGACAACGTACTAGATGCGAATTGAACTGGACGTTCTTCACCGTCAATAATTTGTGACAGAACGCCTCCCAAGCCATAAGGACTTGCATCGCACGAAATAATTATTGGTTTTTGTGGATCATAATGTGTTAAAACGCCAATATTCGCAATAAGTTGTTTTGATTTTTCGAATATATTTTGATGTTTTTCATTCCATATCCACGTTACATTGTTTTTAGTTAGCTCATGTAATGACGATACTTCCGCCAATAAATTAGTTATTGAATGATTATAATAATTAACCATACCCAAATACGATTTTAGTTTTGATTTATTTGTAGGCGCCGGGGCATCTAAAACTGCTTTCTCTTGATGGCAATATTCCATTTTGATTAATTACGTAACCTAAATACGTTAATTCCTTTTTAAAAAATTAGCATTTTTCATAATTAATTTTTACGTTTGCCTCTAATAGTCTGTCTAAAGTTGCTTTTAAATTTTCTTCACATTCTTTCATGTTTGCTCCCCCAATTAGAAGATCATCGAAATATGAATGCACTTTATTCAATCCCTTTAAAATTTCACTTATAATTTTTGAAAAAATTTTTTGTGCCGTTTTTAAGCCATACACCATTCTAGTGTACCTATATAATCCAACATGTGTATTCACAGTTAAAAATTCTTGTGATCTTTCGGACACCTTGACTTGCAAATATGCTCCCGTCAAGTCTATTTTACAAAAATATTTCCACCCAGACAAAGTTGCCAAAATGTCGTCAATTCGCGGAATAACGTGATGCTCATTTTCTACAAATCGATTAATTGTTCTCCTGCAGTTCACACATAATCTATGCTACCATCACCTTTATTTACTACAACTATGGGACTCGCCCATTTACTTCTGGTTGTTGGCACCATAACCCCTTCAGCACATAATCTCTGGATTTCCTCCTCTACTTTTTGTCGTACGCCAAACGGAACTGAATGCGCTTTACTGAAAATTGGATAAGCATTATCATTAAGGTCTATTTCTGCCTCATAACCAATAATGGTTGAATTGTTGTCTTTACTAAATAATTGTTTATGTTTTGTAAAATCGACTTCACAGTTTTCTTTTACGAAATTGACCAACGTTGATTCTATAAAATTTTTACGCCAATTAGGTACCAACCTATCAAGCCAATTTCTACCCAACAGAATCTTAAATGCATGCGCTGAGTCTACAACAACCATATTAAGCTCATAACATTTTCCACTGAATTTTACGCGCACTTCAACCTGACCAACCACCGCAATGTTTTGACCCGTCAGGACTTTAATATTTCTTACCATCGGTTCTATTTTTATATGTTTAAATAATTTATTATAGTCAGAAATATGGCAAACAGAAACACACGCGCCAGAATCAATTTCCACATTCAATTTGTTTTGTTCAATTTCAATTGACCATTCTAAAGGTTCTGATTTTTCGTTTCGTAAATTGCAAAATAATTTACCGTATTTTCTTCAACTAAATAATTAACATTACGTTGGTTTTTCTGGTCCCACTTTGTTGCTCTATTTTGATATTCCCGTTTCACATTTTTATTATCATAATTTTTGTACCAGCAATTTTTCTGTATTTGCCCTGGCTTCTTACAATGATAGCAAATGCACTTATTTTTTTCTACATTTTTATACCTGCGCTTACTTTTGTTTCTAAAAGCTTTGTCTAACTGTTCCCTTTGATTTACTCTGCCACGTTGATTATCGCTGATCTGTTTTACGCTGTTGGACCTCATTTGCTCTATACTATTATTCGTCATGTCCGACGACAATGCTAGCTCACATGCTCGCTCAAAGCTTTTAAGGTTCGCTTCATTTAGTAGTCTGTTCTGAATACTGCAATTATTTAACCCACAAACAAATTTGATAAGGAGAGCTTTATCGAGAAATTCTCCAAAATCGCACTCTCGTGCAAGCTGCTTCAATTCGACAATATAATCTGCAATAGTTTCACCAGTATGTTGGTCTCTTTTAAAAAATTGATAGCACTCAAAAATTATGTTTTTTGTTGGTGCAAAGTGGGCTTTTAATTTTGCCACTATTTCTTCATATTTGAAGTCTATTTCACTTTTCGATGCTAGCACGCTGGTCAAGGTCTTATAAAGGTCAGCGCCTCCAAGACTTATCAGAAATGCAAAATAACCGTGAATGAAGGAATTTTATATATTTTTGTAGTATATGGCAAATATGAATACTTTTTGCGAATTTTTTGTTTTGGCATACCAAAAGCTTCTGTATGGAGAATAATTGAAAGAACTAGTGTTTAGCTTATATCAATTGGACACTAATTTATAAAATACGCACTTGCTAATAATACAAAAGTGGAAGCTTCAAAAAAATTCCCGTTCGTAATTGGTTGCATAGACAGTACAAAAGTCAAAATAAATACACCACACCATAGCAAATAGGCTTATTTCAAAAGGAAGCATGACTATAGCTTAATCTTTCAGGCAGTTTGCGATGAAAATGGTTTTTTTTATAAACGTTTATGTTGGAGAGTCTGGTTCCCTATGTATTGTTCTGTTTTAATTAAATAAATGTATTCAACTTAATTTATATATATTCATTTCAAATTAATTGATTTTAATAAATTATCAAACAACATACACTTGAACTAGTAAAAAGTGAATGAAAGAGTCAGTTTCGATCGAAGATTCTTATGAAATCTGCAATTTTCATTTATTTATTATAGAATAAAATTTAAGTTTTAAACTAAATACTAAATAAAAATTTACATTTAATACTTCAGACAGTTCAACAGATTTTATTTTTTTTCTATTTTTTAGATTTTTTATATTCAAAATTTTCTCGCTTATTTTTTTAGTGTCAAAATTATTCACCATAATCGAAAAATTTTGTACACCAACCCAACTGGTATAATTCATGCATTGCCAATTATTTTCATACCTGATCCGTATCATTTCAGCAAAGATGATCCAGATCATTGAGCGGATCATGTTTGCTGAAACGCAACTAATGTGTCGTTACAACACTAGTATCAATTATATATTGCTTAACTTTTGTATGTTATCCACTTCAAGATATTGAGGATTTATCATGTCTCCTCGTTGGTTTACTTATTCTGAATGAATTTATTGTGAACTGCATCATTCTATGAACAACATATATAATGCTAAATACATGTGCACATAATTGAATTTGTAACTGAAGGTGTTCTTTGTTGTTCCATAAAATGCAATAATAGACGATCAAAAGTATCTTCCATCAATATCCTTGCCTACGAATGCAATACATGCAGATCCGAAGATCTGCATTCTTTATTCTTTTAACGTCAAAATTATTTACCCAAATCAAAACAAAATTTTGTAAATAAACACAACTGACATGACTGATGCGTTGCCAATTACTTTCACATGTGATCCGCATCGTCTTAGCAAAGAAGATCCGGATAATTGTTTGCTGAAACGCAGTTAATAATAAATTAAATCTATACAGAAAACAAATAATTCATATTGATATGCAGACCAAAAAATTGCATTTAATGTCATCAATGGCAAAAGTAATTACAAACATTCTACTTTCTTTTTATGCACGAATGTCATCCGACGAACGCATATTAAAGAAACTTGTAGTAATTTTGTTAAAAAAACACCACTTATTTTTATAGAAATTAAATGTACATTATACTTGTGTTCTTTAGCACGAGCGCAAACCTCTTAGAAAGAACAACATTGTCTGTACCGAAATATATAAATTTTCATTTTATTTTATATAAAGGGGTAGTATTATCAGTATTGAAAACCTTAATGAGTAATATATTAGTTAATTTAAGGACCACTTATAACTAAAATCTCATATATAATCAAATAAATGATTATTTAAACCCTTATGTTAATGTTGCTCATTTCTGTCCTTGCTTTAAAATTTCATATAATATGAAAACATATCTTATTTACATATCTTGGCTTTAAATTATATATAACACAAATTTTGTGTAATAGCTCAAACTAAGTTCGGCTGAGCTACCTGAGAGTGTATGAAATCTCGACTTGGAATTTAAATCAGTATAACATTATTTGCGAGTTAGGTTGTTGGTAGATATTCCGTGTGTGCATCATACAATATAAAACATTAAGTGTTATAAATTTATACATTGTTTTATACATAATATGTTACAATTTAAGTGTTAAATTAATATACATATACATTAATAATAATTAGATGAAAAATGCCTTGCTCAGCGGTAACACTTTCTATTGCAACTATATCAGCGATTATAGCCACTTCGTTGTTGGCTATATCGTTTTCGACAGATAATTGGTTATATTATGAAGTTAAAAGGAATAATATTCAGGTAAAATCATATTCAAAATTTGATTTATTTATAAACATATTAAAAATCTCTATAAACTACATGTAAGTACAAATTACTTTCAACAAGTACCAAAAACCTGCTTAGGTATGCAAACTTTCCACAAGACATTTTTGTGCCGCCATTTTCTCTTACTGAGTATTAGATGTATATTTATGCGTGTGAAGACTCGTAATCATAGAGGAATGTTGTGTAGTTTGATCAAATTGAGTATTTATATTTATACTAACACAATTCACAACTAAATTAATTATAAAGGCAGGGGAAACTAGTTTACGACAAATCAAAGAAATTTGGTTGTCCACATTATTGTAATTGAATTTTTGTAAACATAAATATGTGTATATACCAATTAATATCAATAATCGATTGCTCAAAAATTTGAATTGATATTAAGCAATTGCTAAGCTTGACTTTAAAGAAAGTTGAATAAGTTTTTATTCATATATATATACGTGCTTGCGTTTACATAAACATACAACTCTTTTTTTTTCTTAATGAAAGCATCACGTATTTTATTTTAAAGCAAAATAATTTTAAAAAGGATTTAAAAATCTAACTATAGTTCACTTTTACTTGGATATATATTCCAAGTTTCAAAAAAAAAGTCTGTTAATAAATATTGAGTTAATGATTATATTAAAGGAAACGGTATAACATTGGTCACCCTAAATAAATAACTTACAATATATGTATGTATTCATCTTTGTGATAAATAGCTTAAATGTTCAAACCATTTTCCAAATGTTCATGTTGATCGACTTGATATTTATTAGCAGTAGTTTTTTCTTTTTTTGAAAGTTTTCAGTTTAATATAAAATTAAAATATGAAAATGGTGATATCATTTCTAAGCGAATTATAAGAGGAGCCTTATAACATCTATCTACATGCATTGTACTTTAAAATTTCTTTTAATATTATTTTAGACATAATGAATTAAATGCTTTCGATTTTGCTTCTTAGAAATCTTGAAAACATGTTTTAATAATATGCATAATTCGCATTCAA